TTAGAGTAATCATAATTTATTTGATCAATACCTAGTAATCTTTGCTCATTTTTGTAATTTTCATCTACCTTTCAAAATCCACAATCGACCCCCAATATTTAATGTTCCATTGATAAAACTGTGGTGCAAAAAACTTGCACTGACAAGGGAAGTTTTACAACTGTCCGAAACCGATTTGATTCTTCATGAAATATGTTGTAAAAATGAAAATCTAAGAAACACGTATTTTTTTATATGTACATTAACTTATATTTAAGGAGTGAAACACCTCGACGATATTCGACTCGAAAAAAAACGGTATTTTTCTTTCGAATCGAATATCGTCGTCTAAAAGATAGAAAAAAATTTTTTTGTACGGTTTCAAGAGTACTTTAAAGTTAGAAAAAAATTTTTTTTATTTTTTTGTTTAACAAAATATCCCCACCATCCGTAATTTTCTTAAATTTTCAATTTTTTTCACCAAATTAAAAATTATTTTTTTATAAACTTAGCCATGTGTAATAAAGTTATATTACGACATATTATTTTCGAGAATTAATTATTAACTCTTCCGTACGCTGTCCATGCTCATATACGTAAGTAATTGTCGTTGGAACAATAAAATATATGAAAAGATGTCTTAAGTAAAATTTGTATAGTTTTTTACACGTGTGTGTATGTAGATTTTGTAAATATATATTATTAAAATATATATATATATATATACACATGTTAACCTTGTTATTATTTCTTTGACATTTAATTTTTTCCATGAATAAAAATTAAAAACAATTTTATTCCAAATCCATTCTTTTATAATAAAATTATTGTATAAGATTAGTATCTTTAAAAAATAAATTTTTTAAAAATTGTTGCATTTAAAATTACATTGAATTGTTAGAAAATCTCAAGTCTGAAGAATTCGTTCACGTGTAAAAAAATATACAAATTTTACTTAAAATATCTTTTCATATATCTTATTGTTCCGACTAGAACATCTGAACTGGAAATATCTGAAGATCTATCTGTGGCTCAGGAAGCAGTTGAAAAAAGAAATTATATTGTAAATAATTTGTTAATTAAGTATATAAAGTAATGAAAATAGGGTTAAAGTATACAAGGTAAATAAAGTGTACAAAGTAAACAAACATATGTATGTAAAAATGAAAATTTATTATTAATAACATTACATAATTACATTTTCGTTACATTTCTTTTTATTTGTTCCATCGCTTTTATTTGTTCCTCCTTAACTGCAATCAATTTTTTTCTCACATTGTAAACCTCCTTTGAATCTCGCCTTTTTTGGCCATTTTTTAATGGAGTACAATGTCCGAAACTGAATCTGACATTTCTGCTGAATTCGGCCTATCACTTAAATATTCATTTTCTAACGTACAATTAGAATTACTATTATTAACATCGATAATTAATTTTATAAATGAACCAGCAGCAATCGGACAATGACGCAGCTCTTGCATTCGAATGTGGACACAGAATAGAAGAAGTGCAGTTCATTGAGAGACTACTTAGAGAAGGCGTGGATCGGCTGAAATTTGTTGAAACGCTGCTTGGTCTTAATACAGTTGTAAATGCCCAGTCTATGACTTGACTGAATGAGGATATTGTCGAACCGAAGTTTATGAAAAAAAATTTCCGCTCAATAGGATGATGTCCGCTCCCGCAACATGTTAAGGAAACGATGCGGAAAGTACGTCATTCAGTGGATAGTTCCATAGCATTCTTTACTGCTGAATGCGCCCATTGATAATAAGTGATTAGATAATAACTAGGCGATAATTTATGATATAAGTTTATGTATACATTCAAGATAAGTATAACAAATGGACAATATAAGAATATTCATATAGCAGTTTTACGTTTAGTCAGTGCAATAGTTTTGCCATAATCATATCTGTGCAATTTGTTAAATTGTTTTTATATTTCGATTCAAAGCCAAGTTTAATCTTTGGAAATGATTATCAATCTGCTTATATTATTAGATTTTTATTAGCATCTATAAGTTCAATATATCTAACAGAAACACCAGTAACTGAAGCAGAAATAGTGTTACGTCCAGACTCCACAGTTCTTTTCTTCGATTAGAATTTTCGTCATTATCATAAAAGTTATTAACAAATAATACCGGTAGACCATTTGTTTCTACCATAGGAAGTTACAATAGTGAGCCGAATAACATTCGCCTTTTTAGACTAATAATCCACTCGGGACAAAATTGTTGGATTAATATTTGAACCAAGTGCCGAATAGACGAACTGTACCCCGGGGAACGGAAGAAGTAAATAAATTAAGAATTACAAACTAAAACAGCAATTGTCTGTAATGAATGTGGCTCTCAACTATTGAGCGGCAAATAGTCGATGATGGAAGTAGTTTTAGACACATATCCTAGTATTCCATTTCACCGCCGATACTCTTAATTCTAATCCTAGATTAGACCAATAACATACGCGAGATCTGCACGCGACACTACTAACTCGCGAATATAAAGGAGCGAACTTTCGCAGTCAGTCAGTCAAAATTCAATCACGAACCTTTACCGATCCGCTACCAGTTCAATAAAATTTCAGATATCAAATACTCTGCCAGTCCACGATCAATTCTATCAACCAACTTTAATTGTAATCCGCGACACGATCGAGTGTCTCCAAATCATTTGGGTCCACAGGACATTCAGCCACCTACAGTCAGAGACCACTGAGATCGAACCTGCAGTCATCCTTGAAAACTTCCAGAGTAACAATAAATTTCATCTTAACTAATATATCCGTATACTCACCGCAAAATCTAACCCAACGCAAAACCATAGTGTCACGCTTAAACCACCTCCACAAGGGTTGGCTTGGAAGCCGGCCCGTGAAGTGCAGAGACTCCTGGACCAAGCGTAGCAGGAGTACCTTGAGGCTTCTCAAAATCGGAGTCACCCAGCTGAGGACGTATTGCCTCCACCTTCGCCACCACGGCTTCGTTGGATCTACTTGCTAACCAAGACGCGTTAGAAATGATCTCCTTCTCCTTCACTTCCCCCTCGAACTCTTTCTCCCCTTCTTCACCTCCTCCTCGATCTCCATCACTCGCGTTTTTGGACGCTCTGATGGAGCGTATTTTCCTTAACATCCCTCTGCTAACTCGATTCATCCGTCATCTCAATCCCGTTTTCCCCCAGAAGAACTCCGACGAACTCCACGGACAGCATGAAGTTCCTAGAAGAAATTCCTCCTCCACCACCGAGATCCTATTTTCGCATCCAAGAGAGTAACTCATTTGAGTCACTTGTTAGACAATTCCCGGGAATTACCGAACCTATTCCCGAGAGGACTTCTACGATCGGGCCCCATTATTTTGATCCATATGAAATCCGGCATGGAATTACTCCGTTGGTCAATTTCCCCATTCTTATGATTCGTGTTTATTCCGAATTCCGCCTATTCACATTTAGTTCTGGTGAAATTCTTTTTCAATCCTCCTTTTCCTCCTTCCTCTGTTACTACCCATGAAATAGAATAAACAAAAACCTATATGCTCTGCTCGCCCTGAAACTTCATTCTCTGGCGATTTAATGCAATTTAATATGTTAAATATGTTTAATATGTTAACTTAATATATAATAAAATTTAAATAGTTGTTAAATAGTTGTTAAATATTAAATAGTTAATAATAATTAGCGCGTCGATCTGTAAATTTTTCTTTCTTTTTATAGTAATCATATTAATTAATGTGTAAATTAATTTGTAATAATAAATTTATTAATGTATAACCTTTTTCTTTATCTTCTGTAATTGTATTGTGTTTGAGATCGGTAAAAAGTAAGAACTCTTTCGATCGACCGACAGTAATTATTATTGAACGCACGCATAAGGTGAGCTCGTGATTTCATCTCGAGCCCGACCATAATCCTCGTCAAAGTCAGGGATTCGTCGTTCTTTAGTCTTTTCAAAACAATTCAGTACACGCAAACAGGCACCGGCAACGGACAATCGAAAGTTCTAGAACAATTCAATTCGCGCACGCGAGCGCCGCGCTTCGACGAATACGTCACGCGCTGTCACCAATCCCACGTACGGATTTTCTGTCGCGCATGACTGTTACGTTGAACGTCGTTAGAAAAGAATCCAAAGCGCCAATCAATTTTGTACAACCAATGCCACGTAATAATTACGCAAAATTGTGGCAAAATTTTATTGGATTTCTCCCAAGAAGAAAGCCCAGGCCGAAAGCAATAAATGCTTCGATCTCGCCGTTCCTCCTCCTTAGACTTTTTAGAGTTCTTAGAGTCATAGTCTCGCTACTATATCGCTTCGTAAAACCGTAATAACCGCTTAGTGAAAACCGCTATAAAACGAATCTTTAGTTCTCTTTACTGTCGTGTATCATATCAAACGTGTGCCGTTCTCTCACTCGAATCTTTCCACGTGGTGCATTCCCGCACATTTCTGGTCCTTCGAGCCGGATACTCGTCGGCATCCGCAGTGACGAGTGCATCGCGTTCAGTTTGCTAGTGCTGAAAAGAAAGAGTGAATGATGGGTAAGAAACTGCAGAATTTGCTGACGAAGCAAAACAACTTTCGCAATCGCATGGCTCAGTCAGTATCAGATCTGGAAGAGCTCGGCGCAGCGAACATTACGCTGGCAGCCGCCGAGACATTCGTCGGTCTTCCGAA